TGAAGGGTAAAGGCCAATGCTGTGGGAGGGCAAGGGATGGGAGGTCTGCTTTGTGGATGAGGGAAGGATGTGTTAGACACCGGGTGGCCTGTTTTAGCTGTGGGCATGTTTTTTTAGGCAGGTTGAGGCAGTCTCTTCAGGAGCAGCATACTTTCAAGCCACTGGAGATCCTAACTTGATTTGTTGAGGTCCCTGTTGTTGGTTGTTGCAGTCCCTTTTCCTTGCCCTCACTCTTGAGCTGACATGCCAAAGGACACAGCTGGCCAGACAACATTTTATCTGGCTGTCTTATTTCATGTGTAAATGGTGGTCCTTATAGGACAGAAAAAGCTTCTTGGGGAGCTGAAACTTCCACTACATGTAGTATGTTCCTCAAAAGCTCATTTGGTGGTTTGGTGAAAGTATTTGGACAAAATTTCTTCTTCCTCCTGAAGTCTGGTGTGTCTGAGAAACCAGTCATCCTCAGCAGAAGGAGATGGGCTTAGACCTAGCTTGCTGTCTCTGCCTTCAAGCAGTGCCAGCACCTCCAGGTCTGGATTTGCAGACAAGAATTACATCTCCTCTCTGCTGCTTGTATGCTCAGATTGAATCTAGGAGGCATCTCGGATTTTGCCCATTTCAGTCCAAGGCATCATGGTGGGATGTGACAAGGAACAAATGTGTTGGTAGCAAAGAATAATGGAACAGTGTGGAGAAGCAGAATAACTTCTCAGATGTAGAGAATTTAGTATTTTTTTTTTTAATCTTGCTGAGCATGAGCTTTCCTTCCAGAGTCATTTTGCCAGTAACTTGATTTTGGCAAAGTCCCAGTTAATCTTTCTCCTAAGATGGAAAGTTGAAGATGGAAAGCGTTACCAACATTTGCTCACTGTTAGTGGGAGTGGAAAGATGACAACTTTAGGTGGGTCACAGAGCTCTTCCCCTGCACTTTCTTTGAGTAGAGTTGCTCTGCCCTGTCCCTTTACTCAGAGAACTGCTGATGAGCCTGAAAGACTTTGTCAGTGGTAGCAAAAGGGTACAAGATACCCCTGGGCTTTTTGCACTGACCTGCGGTTTATACATGATGTGCTGGGTCTGTGGGACGAGAGCAGGAAGGTTCTCCTGAGTCCAGTGAGCTGCTTTCAGGAGAGGCTGATGTAGCTGTTGCTTCATCCTTACTCTAAATGACTGGGTGACTATGTGCAGGTATTTGCATCATTTTCTGGAGACATCTTTCAGAGCAAGGCTCCAACTACTGCTTAAGGAGCTACAGACACATGCCTTAATGTTGTGGAGGGGAGATGAGGTGGTTGAATAGTGCCCAGTCCCTGGGCAGACTACTTAGGCCTGCAGCTCTGCAGAGGAGATTTATCATGCTACTCCCTAAAGTCTTGAGTTTTCTCTGTTTTGGATTTGCTAATCTGACTCTTTGCTTCAATTTAAAACAAGTCTTCGCCATAATCTGCAGAGTCTGGTCATCTCTGGTGCATCTAAACAGATTTGTCGCAAAGTGCTCCAGGCCATCAGAGAATCAGACAGGTGAAATATCTTCTACTACATAGAACTTTTTCCTTTCCGGATTCTCTTTCATTTACACTTTTTCAGCAGCTGCTGTGGTCTTGGCCATTTAGGTAGTATGTCACACCCTCAGATCTCAATAAGAAAAGGCCCTGCTGTCAGCATTACAAATTCTCCACTCAAACCAGTCTAAGAAGAGAAGCATGTGGTAATAGGATAGTGAATTTGCCACTGCCTTCTGGGAATTTTGGTCCCAGATTTTTGTCGGAAGCTGGAACTTCATATTTAACTGCCAAACTGTAGGTTGTTCTGGTTTGAATTTTGTTTACAGCTGAAAGTTTAGTCAAGCTTGAGGTGTGTTTGATGTGCTTAGATTTTACTTCCCATCAAAATCCCTCGGAGATGCAAAGGGAGAGTGTTGTATGCAAACAATAATTACCTGTGTTTTTCTATTCCTTGGAAAGTTTTAAGACACATTGCTAGCAACACCAGTGCCAAAATAACATCCGAGCGTGTGGGGAAAGATGCTGTATCTCTCTGTTAGTCCAGGCACCAGAGCAGTTTATGGTGTGACACTTCTCTCTCTTGAGTTGCACCATAGACCCTCATCAGCAGGTCCAGGCCTGCAGAGCACTCTGCAGGGATGACTGCCCTGGCATAAAAAGCCTTGTGATATTTTTCAGTCACTTCTAGATGTGAAATGAATCTGCATCCAGTTTTCTGACTTGCTTTAAAGAGCTCAACACTCTTTGTAGCTTCAGAATACCATTTCAAAGTCCCTCGTGATGCTCTATGGCCCAAGCCACGCTCTACCGTGTTTCAACCATCTTTTGTTTTCTTTTCCAGCAGCTGCAGGTGGTTCCTTTATTCGGCGATATGCAGATAGAACTGGCCAGATACATTAAGACCAGTGCTCACTATGAGGAGAACAAATCCAAGTGAGTGCCTGCCGTAATGTCTCTTGGCTTCTGTGTGTGTCCTGGAAGGCTCGGGAGTTGCAACTCTCCCTCTCCGGTGTGTGTGAGGTCCGTGCGCGGCTCCCTGTGTGTGTCCCTGCGAGCGAGCGTGCCTCACTGTGCTGTCACTTTTCTGTGCACGTGCCCACGTACGTGTCCCTGCATGGGGAACTGTCGCCGCCAGCCCCTGCGCGCGCGGCCAGCCGGATCCGAGCAGACGTGGCCCTGCGGACGTGGCGCCGTGCCCGTGCATGGGGGACACGGAGCAAAACGCCTGGGCCGTTTTGAGCGTCTGGCTGAGTGCTGGCGGTGTGTGCATGCTCCGGGCCACGTGTGTGAGTGTGAGCAGCGTGTCCCTGCTCTGGAGAGATTTTAATCCACATTTTTGACCCAAGGGACAAAATCCTCCAGAGTGTGAACACAGCACTGGATCTATCTGTGTAGCAGCCAGGCCATCTCGTCTACCTCTGACACTTCCCAGGCTGGAAGGTTTTGTGAAAAAGGCAGTGGGAATTCGAGCTGAACTGGGGGTCGGATGCACTGGAAATAGATGAATACTGTGTGAGAAGTGCAGAAACAGAGTCTTTAATTCAGTAGTGGTGTAGCTGTGTGAAGTAGTGCTCTGCAATCTGTAATCCAAGTCAGTTTGTTGCTCCTTTCAAATGAATTTGCAGGCGTTGATTCAGATCATACCTCTCGTGTATGAAACCCCACTTGTCTTTGTAGTTGTGCATAGTTGTCAGTTATTGCTAAAGGAACTGGTTTCAGGTTTGGAGTCTTGGAATAGCATTTGAAACTGCACAGGACACCTGAGCGAAGCGTGTCTGAGCTGTGGCTGGCTGGAGTCGCTGATCTTGGCCTAGTGACCGCAGCGAGTGAAGCTGCACCTGTAGGACCACACTACATGACAGTTGGTTCTCTCCATCGTTTCAGAGAAGCAGTCTGCCAGCTGTCTCTTGGTCAGGGTAGCAAATAACATATCGTCTCATCGCTTCGCGTCTGCTTGCTCCTCCTATTTTCCTTGGAGGATCCTCCTTTTCTGCTCTCTGAGTGGCTCAGCCAGGAAGAGCCCTACTCTGCCCTCCTGCAAGCCAGTTGAAAAGTGCCAAATAACTTTTCATGAGAATATTTGAAAAAATAACATATCGTCTCATCGCTTCGCTTCTGCTCGCTCCTCCTCTTTTCCTTGGAGGATCCTCCTTTTCTGCTCTCTGAGTGGCTCAGCCAGGAAGAGCCCTACTCTGCCCTCCTGCAAGCCAGTTGAAAAGTGCCAAATAACTTTTCATGAGAATATTTGAAAATAACGTGGCAAAACTTCCCAATAAAAATGTTTTAAATTAAAATATTCCCCAAAATTTGAATTTAATACATATTTTTAGAAACTCAGTTTAAAAAGGAAGAATGTTCTAAGTTACATTTTTGTCCTAAATAATTTCCAAAAAAAAGCACATTTCAACAAAACATGCATCAGCTCCATTCATATTTTCATCTCCAAACCAAGATAGCTTGTGGGCTGTTTATCTCTTCAGAATTGTAATGTTTGTCTTGAAATCTGTCTACCCAGTCTCTTTGCTGTACCTGACTAACAGATGTTTCTTCCTCACTCACTCACTCTCCCAGCAAATTGCATGGGACTAGCACCACTTACCCTTCCAAAGTGGTTCCATATAATCCACACTTCTTACTAATGTTCTGTTTTTGTCACTTTCTTTCCTTCCCTATCTCCATGAACCCCGGAATTAATTGGTTTTTTTCTTGCATGACATTTTGTTTCTGCACTGTGGACTAGATTGTGTGTGGCAGGGGGGGCTGGGGCAGCCTTGGCCATCCCTGTTCCCTGCCGATTGTCTGGTGGGAGCACAGGACATTGAAACGGGTAAGAGTTGAGTGATGGGACTGTGGGAGGCTGGATTTCATGAGGGATGATGTTGTCCAGCATTTCCAGGAACTTCTGGCATCACAAATATTGGCAGCAGGAACTTCACAGTTAGCTGTAGGAATACAGTTCTTGTCAGAAGCAGATTTCTCACCTCCTTTTCAAACATCCAATCCAGATCAGAAGAGTATATAGTTTAAGGTGGCCAATTATTTAAGGAAAAAAAGGGCAAGGTCTGAATATTTGAAGCCATTATGAAGACAGAATAAAACTGACATTTTTTTGTTTGCACAAAGCATTTTGGTGAAGCTGTTCTGGATCTACAACTGTGGCTATTAGAGAATTGGGGAAGAGGAGGTGTTAAATTAAATAGACCTGATCTTCACGTATTCTCACCACTTCTTCAGATGACTAGGCCACTGGCTGAAGGATGTTGCCTTCTCTCTAAGGCCCCAGTACACTGCTATGCCGTACATGCAGCTCAATGCAAATGCAAGTGTAATCTCTGTGTATTGTTTACACTCAGGGTTGTTTGCAGAGCTGAACTGGTAATGTGAGCCAGAACAACAACAACAAAAAAAGAAGAGTGGGAGTTTCATCCCTGCTGTCCTTTGCAGTCCTTTCCTGCTTTAGAAGGAAGCATGACCCAGGCCTTGCAGACCCAGAGGAATGAGCTCTAAGGGGCCAATTATCCTTAGGTTTACCAGAAAGGATCCAAGTGATGCTGAGGCTCTGCTGTTTGTTCTTCTTCCGTGAAAGCTTGCCAGATAGTGGGCTGGGAAATAGCCACCTCTGTCCACGACAAGTAGGTGAACCCAATATGGAGAGTAACCCTCAGGGTGGACTGAGATGTTCTGGCAGAAAGGTGAGGTGAGCATCCCTGTAACATTGTGAGAGACCATGTCTGGAAGACCTTGCACACATCTGCTTTGTCTGACCAACAAGTGGAATGAGAGAGAGGATACAGGCTGCACATAGTTGTCCTAAGCGTGACATGTTTTGAGAGTGCTGAGGTAAAGGGGGCAGTTGAGCACAAGGTTTTGTCCCTGAGGGTATCTGAGTGGAGCCTCTTGTCCCATCCCTGAAAACGATTGCTTTTCTGCCCAGGTGGACGTGCACTCAGAGCAGCATAAGTCCCCAGTACAACATTTGTGAGCAGATGGTCCAGATCCGAGATGACCACATCCGCTTCATCTCGGAGCTCGCTCGCTACAGCAACAGTGAGGTAAGCTCAGTGAATAGTCACCGAAATCTGGATAGATTAGGCCGGAAGAGGACAAGTCCAGTGGGAATATAGTTTGCCAAGGACATATACAATGAGGAGAGAAAGACACAAGTGGAACAAATTGCTGCTCGAGAAAGCAATAAAAAGCAAGTTATGTAAAGCCCCTGCAGGTGCAAGATCATGTGGACTGGAAGATCTACTGCAAAAGTTTTTCTCTTTGGTCACAGCTGAATTAAAATAAGATAAAGAAATATTACTGCCACTAAAGCTTGTTATCAGTCAGATGGCAGAACACCTGTGGCTTTGCAGATGGTTCTTTTCTATTACACTGAAATATCAGTCAGGGCTTGAGAGGGAAGTTCACAAGGGAAGCTCTGTTCTTGTCATTTATTGAATATCTGAGCCCTTTCTGACGTGATTCTGACTGTTTTTGAAACTGTCATCCTTATTCATCATCATTATTTTAATGAATTATTAGAGTACTCAGCCCTTTTATTGTGGCATTTTTATGTTGTTATTTAAATCAGTAAATGGTTCTGAAGGGCTTTATTACCACTAGACCGTCATGGAGGAATCCCTAAGAAAACAGAACGAGGAAATTGGTTATTTGCTCTAAGGTTAAAAGTCATACTCCCTTTTTTATAGGAATTAAGTTGTCTGCTTGGGTTTTGCCAAGTTATGGCCCTTTTCCTGAGAGAGACTATGTGCACTGGCCAATTTTAGCTTGATCACGTGGAATTCATTTATCACAGCCTTTTGCTCATTGCTTCTGGAAGCCCTTGCAGTGAGCTGCTGAGTCCTGCTATGATGTTATGTGGTGCTTTCCAGGTGGTCACTGGCTCAGGGCTGGACAGCCAGAAATCGGATGAGGAATACAGGGAGCTCTTTGACCTTGCATTACGGGGACTGCAGCTGCTGTCCAAGTGGAGCGCCCATGTCATGGAAGTGGTGAGTCCATCAAAATAGGTAACATCCTCATTTTCCCAGGTGAGCATCCACATTTTAAACACTGTGTTCAACAAAGAATGTGAAAAGATGAGCTTGGTTTGATATCACCAACTTTAAGCCTTTAACAAACATAATAAAATCAGGCATCTAATCATAGACTCTCTACTAAATGGAAGAAGAGAGTTTGATCTGTCACACTCTAGAGCTGAACCATCCTTTCCACCCAGTGATGTTAGAGGGAGACTCAATGACTGTTCTCTTAAATGAACACCTCATGTATTGAAAGTTGGATGGGATAAGCCTGGGTCTTGAATGACTAAAGCTATAATTCAAATGATGACAAAATTTTTTAATTTGGAAAGTTTTGCCACATCTCAGCACAGTCCAGGAACGTCAAGAACCCAATGTGACTGTCGGACTGCAAGTAACCCAAACCAACATTTTGGTACTGCAGAAGTAGAGTCAGAAGGAAGCACACATTCTGCTCCCAAAGGGATGCCAGACAACGTTAGCAATGTCCAAGAAGTGTTTTGCTGGCATGGTGCCATTTTCTATCCTTCCAGCTCTGCTTTTTATTCACTGTAATATTAACGTTCTCTTTTCATTTTTTCAGTACTCTTGGAAGCTGGTTCATCCCACAGATAAGTTCTGTAACAAAGATTGCCCAGGAACAGCAGAAGAGTATGAGAGAGCCACCCGGTACAACTACACCAGCGAAGAGAAGTTCGCCTTTGTGGAGGTAGGTGCCAACTGCTGCCTTATTCTGTACTGTTGTAACTGGGAGGGTGACATGGAGATAAAGTTCCATGTACTTTGCCACAAACTACCTTAGTTACTTGAATAAAGCACAAAGTGCCAGGTTTTAAAGGTGTTTTTGAAGTTTTTGGACTACAGCTTTCAAAGATTTTCTGTTAGCTCCTCTTCATAGGTGCCCACCAGCAGCTGAGAAGTTCATGCTTTTGAAAATCACTGATTAAATTCTCCTCAGCTTCCGAAGTGAAAATAACAGTCCTTCCTTCATCCAGGTTTTGCGCTCACCCAGGCAGCCAGTGTTCTTGTTATGAGTGTGCAGGGACTGGCGTGACGGGGGCTCTGGACAAAGCAGGTTCCTGACAAATTGTAACTTAAAGTTTTGACTCAGCATGAAAAATACTAGGAACGAGTAAGAACCAATAAGTGCTAGTTTTCCATCCAAGAGGAGGAAAGGGTATCTCACCTTGCTCAGCAGGTTGCTACTCCCTGTGGCCCGTAAGCAACCAGAATTAAGGGGAAAATTAAGTTCTTATGAGTTCCTGCTGGGATAGAGGCACAGTGCCAGCGTGTGACGAGAGCACTAGCATCTCTCTTTCTGATCCTGCTCTTCTGCGCTCTCTTCATGTGCAGGTGAAAGACAGAGGTGAATCCCTGTGTTTTCTTAATACTTTTGTATTAATCCCCAAGTGGGATTCAGGGTCCTCCCAAAAAAGGCATTTAGGTTCTCAGAGAAGTGCTCTGTAGAGGAAGGTCCAGAGCGATGCTTGGGTGCTGTGCAAGCAGAACAGAACCTCAGGTAGTCTCCAAGACCAGTTGGCTCTCAGTCTTCCCATGGGCAGTGGGAATAGTCCTCTGAGCCTGCTTGTGGGAGACCATCATAGATGCATTTTTCTTTCTAGTCTGAAATGGTTTGAACATTGCCTTATTTTTTGTTGCTCACTCCCTCCTGGGAATTATCATTGCCCTAATTCCACTAAACAGTACTGTACATGAAAAACTGTTGTCTGCATACTGATAAATGCCTGTGCAAGCCATACAGCTGCACATACGTGTTGAACACATGCAGTTTGCTGACACTTTCAGCCTTGCTCGTTATTAAAGATATTAAGAAACCACGAGGAGAAAAACAGCCTGCCAAGGGATGGGGGCTGTTTGCAGGAAGTTGGTGGTTGTAATGCCATCCCCAGTTTGTCATGAGCTGTAAAGCAGCAGACATCAAAAACAAATTAGTCACCTAATTACCGTATCTAAATTACTCCGATAGAATTATTTTAACACCAGGAAAAATAGGAAGTACAAGTGTTTTTTTCTTTTAAATTTTTACTTCAGGTAATTGCCATGATCAAAGGTCTGCAAGTGTTGATGGGCCGTATGGAGAGTGTTTTTAACCAAGCCATCCGTAACACTATCTACGCAGCCCTGCAGGACTTTGCCCAGGTAACCCTGCGAGAGCCGCTGAGGCAGGCGGTCAGGAAGAAGAAGAACGTCCTGATCAGGTCAGTCTGTCGTTCCTAAATGTAAATCAAAGCAGGTGTATTTACTGGTATAATGCATTTGTACTGTATAAATGCACAGCCCTGGGTTAAACTAAGTCTGATTCTGCACAGCTGGCACTACCTGTACTCATAGTATAAAATCAACCAATATACCTTGGCCAGCAACTTTTTCCAAGGCAACATTTTGGGGTGATTTCCCAAAAACGACAGTGTATATTCCCACCTCAGATATTTTTTTTCAAACATGGGCACAGCTGTGGATATTTTCCCCTTGGACTTAAAGCAAGTTTGAGAACAACTTTCCATACTCTCCCACCCGTTTCAGTGTCCTTCAAGCAATTCGAAAGACAATCTGTGACTGGGAGGGTGGTCGAGAGCCGCCAAATGATCCTTGCCTGAGAGGTGAGAAGGATCCCAAAGGTGGATTTGATATAAAAGTCCCACGGCGAGCAGTAGGACCATCAAGTACCCAGGTACGTAAATCTGCATCTCCTGCACAGGGTATTTAGGGCCTTACAGTCGTGTAAAAGTCATCTATCCTGTGGGTTAGCAGCTGTTTCCATGGTTTCTTTCACAAAGTCTTCACTCCTGTTTTGTGTGGTAAGTGTTATTTTGGTGCCTATTTTGTTGTGTCGTTTCCAAGACCTCCTTTTTTAAGGGTGCGATTATTTCTAGTGTATGGTGATGTATCACTAACGGGCAGTAAGTGCGTGTTCGCTTCCTTCCAAAGCTCTACATGGTGCGGACCATGCTGGAATCCCTCATAGCAGACAAGAGTGGCTCAAAGAAGACGCTGAGGAGCAGCTTGGATGGGCCGATAGTCCTGGCCATTGAGGAGTTCCACAAGCAGTCCTTCTTCTTCACCCACCTTCTCAACATCAGTGGTGAGACTGTGGCAGAGGGAGGCTTGAATCCAAACCTTGCATGCATAGGGCAGCAGAGGTAGATCATCTTTGCTCCTCACAGACCTATGCAGGAGATTTTCTCTTATTTTTCCAAATGTTCTGTTTCTGCCTGGTATGGGCATGTTTGTAGGTAGATAATAAACATTATGTGAATGTGAATCAGTCAGCAGTGATTGGCAAAATGATGGCACAAATGCCACAGGTAATAGTTTAGTTTCTAGGCTTGGAGCTTTCTTTCTGCCCCAGTCAAACTTCCAAGCCACTGGGCACAGAAGAAATCTGCCAGAGTGGCTTCTGACAGGCCACTGAAATTCTCTTCAGGGAGTTATGTTGCAAAAGGAACAATCTCTTGTTTCTTTTTCTTTTGCAAAATGCTGAGACAGCATGGACATGGTCTGGGTTTAAAAATGCTGATACCCTGAAAGCTGGTTCACATCCCAAACCAATTCAATATGAGGCAGAAGGAGCTGCCTCTTGCAGCACGTCCCTCCCTGTCCCTCCCCTGGGTGGTAATGCCTGTCCCCTGTGCTTTCAGAGGCGCTGCAGCAGTGCTGCGACCTGTCCCAGCTCTGGTTCCGGGAATTCTTCCTCGAGCTGACCATGGGCCGCCGCATCCAGTTTCCCATTGAGATGTCCATGCCCTGGATCCTTACGGACCATATTCTGGAAACCAAGGAGCCCTCCATGATGGAGTAAGAAGAGCTGGTGGGGCTGTGGTGGACGTGTGTTAGCTGGGGCTTTGGATTTTATTTTGCAGCAGCATAGTAAGAAGCATTAGGCTGGGAGAAAACAACTTCCTTAAGGCAGCCAGTGGGCAAAAATGTATGTTTTTTGGTCATAAACCAACAGTTGACACATAACTTAGTGATACTTTTAATCTTCATACATTAGTAGGATAGTCTGTACAACCAAAAAGCTGTGGGCCCTGGCTGAAGCGCCTAAACACCTTCTTTTCCTATATGCAAAAGAAAGAACAGGCCTTGATTAAGCAAGTCACAGCACAAATCTAGATCAGTTAGAGCTGACCTAGGAACAATGCTGACCTAGGAAACAGAAAGGAGGATTCAAGGACTGGAAAAGGGGAAGGGAAGAAAGCAAAGACTATCCAATTTTTGCTGTCTTCTCTACTTTAAAGCAAGTCATGTGCAGTGGCTGGCATGCTCCTATGTTAAATTAAGAGATAATCCATCTTCTTCTCCTCAGGTATGTTCTGTACCCCCTGGACCTCTATAATGACAGTGCATATTATGCCTTGACTAAGTTCAAAAAGCAGTTCCTATATGATGAAATTGAAGCTGAGGTAAGTACTCTTCTTGTTTACTCTGTGGAAAGTGAGCTCACTGGCTTTATATTGTCCTGTTTGACAGCCCAGTGCTTCAGGGAGTTACTTGCAGATGTGGGGGGGCAGGGGTGGAACATAATATTCTGAAAAGTTTTCAAGAGATCACAAATTTCC